TTGAATTCTAACTTCTGCCAATTCACGACATAGTGCGACCACTTCGCAATGTCTTCTTCGATGAGTTACTGCCTCATCTTCAACCTGCTGGTTTTCCAGTGGTTCTCTAACTGATGTCAGCTCATGATTAAATCCTCCATGCAATCAAAATACAAAATAGCCTTTATTATAATGAACAAAAGAAGTTTGTGCTACCCTTTGTCTCTCCCTTGTCTGGCCCAGGCGAATTCTATTCAAAACCCTCCCACCCTTTCTTATTCTCCGTTTCCTTCGTACTTTTATGATATTTATTTAAACTCTGATTATCGTTCCATTTGATTTGACCTAATTTATTTATTTATTGAATTGTCTACATATATACATATACTATCTTTGTTATTCTTATCGCCCGCATAAACCTTATTATCAATATTTTGTTATCATTATAATCATCGTTATTAATTTCGTCCAAAACATTTACCACATAACAATTTTTTTCCGAGTTGACCTAGGACTTGTAACCAGAAGGTCCTGGATTCGAATCCCAGTGGTTGCTTACCGCCGATGATTCCCAAACTAGGATGAAACAGCTGGCTGTCCAGTACACTCCTTGGTTTTCGATAGTTCTCTAACTGATATCAATCACTGATCAACTCGTAAAAACATAACTAACTCTTACAAACCAAAACTATAGAAAATTATTATTATTATTTGATCCACAAAATCACCGTCATTAGTTAAAATTTTTTATATATAAATCTGAGACCGAGCACTTCGGTCCAATCAATCGACGGGAAAATCAAAAATTCAATTCAATAATTAATATGACCCGTTGCACAAGAGGTGGCTCTCGTGGCCCAAGTGGTCTAGTGCATAACGCTTTGGCGTTTGAAACTATGGGCACTGGGTTCGAGCCTCGGTGGGAACATCATCACTCACTGAGAAATGCAGGTGCATCCAGCTGACGAGTCCCAATTAAGACGAAATGCGCATCCTGGATTCCACTGCTAGTCACCATCCACCAATTGTATACTAACTAAATGCCCAGACATCGTCGAAGCATCTGCACAAGAAGCCGACATGTCAACCTGAGGTCGAGCACTTCGGTCCAATCAATCGACGGGAAAATCAAGAATTAAATTCAATAAATCTATGTAAATTAGAGTAAAGCGTAGAGAAGATCTAATTGAAAACAACAATATTGTTCGCTTATATGTCTTGTTCTAATATTACAAAAATTGGAATATTTAAAGATTTTTCTTTTCCGTTTTGTTTTCGAATTTTTTGTCTATTTCATTATTTAGGCAAAATCTCTAAACTTGAATGGAGTAAAACAATGGAGAAAGTATTAGATTTGAAACTTCCTTGGGGTACACTTCAACCACGTCTAGTTGCTTCAGCAAAAACACCAAATCAAGTAGAATACTTAACAACGTTTGAAAAGTTAGTCATATGTAATAACACATCAAATGTAAGTTAGCTATTCGTATTAATATTGTTATTCATTCCTTGAGTTCTGACTGATTTAGTGGCATGTCTCTGACATACTTGGCTGTCAGCTGGCTACACGAATGTCCAGAAGATTTCGTCTCCTCTCCAAGTGGTCTGTATACCATCCTTGGACACCCAGCTGTCTGATTCCTATTCAGATTTTATTCATCAAACTAGCGGATGTCACTTCAAAGTCTCCTCTGTGTATTTTCAGTTCATTCCATTATCTGAATTTGTTAGGTGATAGATTGTTGACGGAGTCTCTGACTCCTGGAGTTTCTTACTACTTAGTTCTTTCAGGTCTTTCACCTGATCTTAAGTTTCAAGTGAAGACAGAAGCTACAAATGCAAAGATTTCTGCTGTCTTTTATTGTTTTTGTTTTTTCTTTAAATGGAACTATTAGAAATGTCTGAGTCTAAAAAAACACAATGTTGCTACACAACAATTTGACTTGTACATGCACTTGTGTTTATTACTATGACGTTTAGATGGTTGGAGGCAATCGGCTACAGGAAGCCCCTCTTGACCTAGGTTTTGGTACTGGTTTGCACTCACTAGTCAGTCAGTTAGCAAGCCGTATCTCCAACCTTGAAGGAACTCATATACCTTCTGAGATTTCAACCCGCGTCACCCAGTGAGTACTGCAGTCAGAGACAACGTTACCACTGAGCTATTCAGGCTCACGACTGACCTCCTGTAGGACAGTAGTGGATACTTTAATTGAGCACTAGTTGTTAGTAACTAGTATGATGTGTCTAGCTAGACCATTGTTTGATGCAGACTGAATTCTATCAGTCAAGTTTGCATTATGACCATCTTTTATGGCTTAACTGTGAGTGAACAACTAATATTTTTTGAAGAATGGTAATTGATCATTGGGTTGTAACCAGCGTTGTCGAGTGTCTTATATATTTACTCTTTTCTCTGAATAAATCCTCTCAGTCACGAAGTTACGTGACTCACCAATCACGGTACACAATTTAATTGATCTCAAGTGAAGTTGAAGGTAATCAGCAGGAATCCTCAAAGCTTATTGACTGACACTATTCTAGCCACTTCTTTGAAGTCTAAATGACCACGTATACATTCTAATCATTATATAGTATTCTCAATTATGAATCATTTAATGGGAAATGCTTTGATATTAAAAATGATGTCCAATAGGTTTGATTTCTAATGGGAGCAATGATTGCCAGTCTTTACTTAACTTCACTTGATCACACAATAACCATGTTAGGTATTCTTTGGCTAGAAACTACATGGTATCATGCGTCTAAGTGAAAAATGTTTATATATATGATGTGTTTTTTTCCTTCATGAAAGCCAATTACCAATTAATTATCTTGTCATTTTCAAGTATTGGTTTGTTGGGATTAGATTTGATTGGTAACAGGATTTCATTATGAGCTGACACCGATTAGAGAACTGTTGCTAATTCTTTCTGGTTGGCCATTTGATCTTCTGTATGAAGCCAATGAATATGGCACCTGTTAATAAAAGTCTGAAGTAGGCTATTGAAAATGCTCCCTGTGATGCATTCACCACGTGTCTGTCTGAACCACATAGAAGCACTGATTGACTTAACACTGGTGTTGGAAATCCGGAGATCATTCTTTATTCTGATTGTAGAAGATTTCCAGATTTTAGTTTCAGGTTGATGAAGGTGTATCTTTGCTTTCCGATTCGGACTAGTCGCCTGTTTGTTGTGGGATATATTTTTTTTATATTTTTGATTTACAGCTTGATTCCACACTGTATTTTCGGTACAAGTATGGAATTTTCAGCGTGGATATCGGTAGCCCAAATTTTTCAGGCCGACCATAGATATCAGATGTGCGTCGGTACGGGCTCGAACCCTGGACCATGTGCATGGTCGGCGAGAGTCCTAACCACTGTGCCACTGTTATGTTGCTCGTCGCTAAATTATTGTTATGGACTGGTCGAGAAACTAATAGTCCTGACGCAAAAAGGCGGAAATCAGAAGACCACTAGGTTTGCGATGATACTTCTATTTTTCCAAACACAAGGAGACACAAAAGTGGTATCACACCAAAGGTAGTCAGTGTAAGTGTGAGTCAGTCACACAAATTGTGAGAACGAAATATATATATAGCAAAATATATAGCAGACATGTCAACAACCACCATATATGGATATATGTCACTAAGCAACGGACTGTCAACAAACACTCATATTATATATAATATAAGGGAATATACATTGTTAAAGGAGACAGGTTCATACAAGTGAAATGGTCACAGACTAAGAGAGCAAACAGAAAGAGAGACCAACATACACACACACACATAAATATATGTGGATACATATCAAGAACCATTGGAAAACCTACCAGGGAGTAATGGACAGCTGTTTCATCAGCCTAGTTTGGGACTTCTCATCAGTACACACCCACCACCAAGGTTCTAACCCAGGACCTTCTGGTTACAAGGCCAGTGAGCTCGTGGACCATTAGACCACTGGGACTCTATCCACTGGCCAGTGCATGAATTCTAACTTCTGACAATTCATGACATAGCGCCACAGCTAGCCAATGTCATACAAGACAAGTATTTGTCCTCACACCCAACCTGCGATACCCCACTGGTCACGACTTCCCTCTAGAACCCTAGTTAACTGCCTACCTGAATAGTCCCAGTCGACAGTGAGCATCTCATTATTATTCAAGTATTGGTTGTCGTCTTCTGTTGTCACACTAGTATTGATAAGAGCAAGCATTACCATACCCACATAAGTTGATAGGCTTCAACCACAAATGCCTAAATGAAGGCTGATTTTCTCAAGAGAACCATCATGGGAGTTATGCATGGCCAAAGACATGAATTCCTGCTTCCATGTATGAATGAGATGTGGTAAAACACAACCAACCATTAGTCCATGCTGTTACGACAGTGAATTGCAAAGTCTTTTCACTGTCTTGCCATGACTTGGAAAATTCCTTCATTAACATATAAAGACCAACCTAGATTTCAAATACGCCTTACTGACTGGTAAGTACCAATAAAATGCGAAGTCTAAATCGACGGTTTCCTAACGATTGTCTCTAATCATCTAATAAACAGAAAGTCATATTTTAATTGGTTACAGGATTTCATCATGAGTTGACATTGGTTAGAGAACCAATGGAAAACCTGCCAAGGAGTACTAAACAGCTGTTTCGTCCTAGTTCGGGACTCTTCACAGTACGCACTCATCGGGGTTCGAACCTAGGACTTTCTGGGTACAAAGCAAGCTACCTGGTAGAGCATTAAGCTACTGGGACCCTATCCATTGGCCAGCGTATGAATTCTAACTTCTTCTTCCAATTCACATCATAGCGCGATCCCTAGCCAATGTCATCCGTGGCGAGTAACTGTCCTCACACCCAACCTACTGCATCCTACTGGTCATGACTTCTCACTATATTTTAACTGTTGAAATTTCTCAATGTACCATTAATTGCATAATATTGTTTATTTTTGCGCCTGCCTATAGTCAGTTTCTCTTATAAATTTTCTTTAATCTTGAACAGATGCCTCCCTCTGTTACTGAAGAAATGTATAAATATCAGGATGTACTTGAAGGAATATTTCGAGCTATGGATAAAGATAATTCAGGTGAGTAGATTGAATATATATCCAGTTGTGTTTCCCAGTGATTATTGATACTTCTAATCAACTGATGATCATGTATTATGGATGGATATAAAAGAAAAATAAAATTATTAGCCTAAGATAGTGAGAAAAAAAACAGGCGTCGTGTTAACTTTGACTGATTATTATAATTATTACTCTCTTGATCCACAGTTGATCGTAATCCCTCATCTCCTACTCGTCAAACAATCTCCTCCATGTCATCCTTCATTTGAGATTTCACTCTAGTGAGATGGCTTGCATTGAGCGCAGTGTCATTTGACAGTCTTCTCAGTGGTGTGTATGCCCGATCAATCCATCTCCATTTACTCCTACATATTTGTTGAGAAATCGGCTGTCGCCTATTGGTTTATTCCCCCATCAGAGTTTCTTGTTGCTAATACTTTCTGGCTGGCCGGTCGGCTATTTGATTTTCACTATGGAGCCAGCCAGTGAATGTGGCAGCTGTTGACGAAAGTCTACATCTGGCTGTTGGAAATCGTTTTCTTGACTCACGTGTAGTTCAAGTTTCTGACTCGTATAAAAAAGAACTGACTGACTGACTGACTAACTGACTTCACATTTGTGTTGTAAAGAATTGGAATCTTACTGTTTATACTGGCTTAGTGAGAGCAGATTTGAATAAAGAAATAAGAAACATTGGCGCAGAATAATCTGGATCTATTTTATTTTGTCGGCTCTCATCAGCTGCGTACAACCTGAATTCGTCAATAGAATAAAATTGTACAATTTTGACAAACTTTTGTCCATTAGCAAGCGCATATTGTCAGAGCATCCTAGTGAAATAAGGCGTTGCGATTTACAAGGTGTCTAAAGTGTTACGACATGTATGTATATATATATATCTTGTTGGAGAGAAGTTTCTTGAAAAAAATTAATTAACAGTTGTGTTGTTGGGGTGCTAACAAAAATAAAATTAGTAATAGTTACGTAATCAGATAAGAGAGGATCAAAACTTTAAAATTTCGGTGCACATGTGGTCAAATGAGAAGTTGATGATGTAATACAGTGAGCAGGTTTCAGAAGACCAAGAAAAAATTATCTCTTAAGAGAGTCGAGCGAAAAATAAAGGGGCGGGAGTGAAAAGATAAGTTAACAAAATAAGAAAACAAAGAGTTACTAAGACGTCAGTCACCAGAGTAATTGAAGTCCAACAACGGATTCTTTTTGGATACATAAGTCAGGCTTCAATCGTTTCATTACTATAGCTTCAGCAAACCTGAGAGCATCAAATGAACGCAATCAATCGGCTTGAATAGTTCACTGCAAAATGACTCTGACTAAGACATTGTCTTAGGTATGTACAAATCTCCAAGGGATTTCAGACACGCCGTGCTGATGACTGGCGATAACTACAAAACTTAAATCAGAAAAGATGTTCTGCTGATTCATGAAGTTCCCGTAGCCATGGTGTTGTTGTTTTTTTACCATTGGGACGGGGGTAGGGTGGTGGAAGTTGCTAACCTCACACCGATAATCTGGAGCTTCTCTCCTTCTACGGACATATTGGGTTACACATAAATCTTGAGCGTATAACATGCAAAGCAAGCGCTGTGTAACTGCGCTACACGCCTACAAACAATAGCAAGGCAAGGAATATGCATATATAGCGTACAACCCTCTTTGAGGCTTGCAAATCACTGCGAGCTCACATATTTTCCCGACAGATTTGCCAATATATATATATATATATATATATATATATATAGTCAACAGCACTCAGTATGACAAAAATTAGATCCGGATTTTCAACTCCAATGTGAAGTCAGCGCCAATATATGGATCAGAGATTTGGCCAGCGCGTCATAAAGAGCACCTCAAACAAATTACAGATTTTCATTAATAGTTGTCTTCGCTCAATACTCAAGATCAGATGGCCGGCCAGAAAAGGTCAGCGAGAGTGAACCAATCAGGAACTGACTGTACAAGAAATAGGCAGGAAGAAATGGAGATGGATTGGCTGGCCATACTTTGAGGAAACCATCAAGTGAGTGATATCACTAGACAAGCCATTGCTCGAGTGGAACCCCAAAAGGAAAGCGGTGAGTTGGTCGTCAGTGCAAGGGTGACTTTGAGGAGGTCATGTAAAGAAGAGATGAAAGTATGTGGGTAGAGTTGGAGCCAAGTGAACTCTCCAGGAGAAAAGCGAACGCAATGTAGACGAGTGGCTGAAGCCCTATGTTCCTCTAGGAATTAAAAAAAATAACAGTAGTAATAATAAGAAGAACACCATCAGATGGTCTGATAGGTTAGATAGGCTAAAACGTAGGCTAGGGTATATTATTCCGACTACTCGGGACCACTAGAAATCCAATAGAGTATTATACCCCTAGACCAAGGTGTGAATGTCTACAATTTAAAAATATTTTATTTAAAATTTGTATTTTGTTTCATATATATTTATGTATTTATCTGTAATATTTTAGGTCGTATATCGTTGAATGAATTCAAGCATGCATGTTTACGCCTACCCAATTGGACAAAGATTGATGAACAAATTGTTATGGATATGGCACGTTCAATCGACATAAACAAGGATGGTTTAATTGATTTTAATGAATTTCTTGAAACATTTCGACTAGTCGAATCGGATCATAATCGTAATGAATCATTAACGGATCAACAAATAGAGGAATGAATGAATGAATGTATGAGCGAATGTAAGAAGGAATGGAAAGATAATTACCGCTTAAACTGCCATTTCTTCTATCAATAACTTTATCCTACAGAGTTCGGCTGATTTAAAATCTATTTTTATTTGAAATACGCATTTTTTTCATCTAATCTGATCCCAATGAATACATACATATAAATACTTTTATATAAGCTAATTCCAGTGTCAGCGATGATCTCATAAGATCCAGCTTTTATTGATCAACTAGACAAAATAACAGATATCCAATGAAGAGACAAGGGGGAGATAGAAGTTTCCCAATTCTGTGAATTCGGAATGATTCTTCTTCTTCTTGCTCTGCTATTACCTCCCCCCGCCACTTTTTTTTATTCCTTCACGTTCCCAGGGGAACGCAAAGGGGGGGGCGTCAAGCCCCACTCTTGAAGTTTCGATAGCAGTGATGTTTATTTCTACAGGATGGGTTTGCTAGCTACCCTCTTGCCTCCCCCCCCAACGTTTCCTCTTTACCAACCCTATTACTGACTCAGGGAGGTCCAGGAGTGCATTGGTGGTCGGGGATAGAATCCTGAACCACATACGGGTGTGGTTGTCAAGCAGTCTACCTTTGTGTCACCGATGCACACTACTCTCAATACTCACATTGTCATTCAGATTACTACTACTAATAATAATCCTCACACTGCTTCTGCAACTCAGACTTCTAATGCTCCTAATGACGCTTCCTAATAAACCAGAAGACTAATGTTTATGATACATTTTTAAAACAAACATTATGCTTACTTAACCACACATGGGAGTGTTTTTTGTTTTTGTTTTATCCACACACACACACACACTCACACACGCAAAGAATAATTTAGGAGATACGCAGAGAAAAGAAGAGCCGGAGAGATAAAAAGAGAGAGGGAGACGGAGAGCTGGAGGATGGAAAGGGGGTAGGTTGAAAGGCTTCTTCGCTACAATTAGATTTCTATTTCCCTATTTCTCTCTGTGTTTTGTATCACTTTGTGTATTCCCCTGTTATTGTGTACAGCCACACCCATTGAATAAAACCAAAAATCAAAAGCAAACAAACAGACAATCACTCACTCACGCACACTTGCACACACCCGCACACACACACACACACACACAAAACTTGACCCCGCCTAAGTATCAATTTCTCTTTCTTCTACTTTTATTATTTCTCGTTTTTTCTATTAATAATATTATGATTATGATTGTACTTCCTTATCAAACAAAAAGTCTGTTTTCATTCCAATTTATTTGTTTATTATTTTTTCGCATTCATGAGTTCACTCTTCACTCTTCTACTTCTTTTTGCTTTTTTCTCTTCATTTCATTGATCTCATTTTTTTTATTTTTCACCAAGGCGGGTAGGGGTGGGTTGGCTAGTGGAGGGCTGGAGAAGGCAAGCAGAGATGGATGGATGGATGGATGGATCAATTTGTGAATTTGATTTCACATTGATTCGATTTATATACATATATAATATTCTATAAAAAAGTCTCATCTTTTCACTGGGATTTTATTTAGGGCTGGTCAAATCATTTTTACTTTTAATGCGTTTTATATTTTTGCTCCAGTCTTGAAGAATGATTTTGAGAATGCTTATTTCCATGATTATTATTGTTATTGTTATTATTATTATCATGTGGACAAACATTGCCAAAAATTGTTTCTTCAAACTTTTGCATAGAATTTTGTCAATGATGTATAAAAAAAACAACAACAGAAAAGTCATTTGAGGGTGTTTTTTGTCTTTTCAAGAATAAGATTTCCTTCGGAGATTGACGTAAACGAAAGAAATGATAGACATTCCTATTATCTCCGAAGACGCTCGAACCGACAATTATATATAATGCACAATATTGACATTAACTCCAAAACATAAGGGCTAGTAATAAATTGTATTGTTCGGCAGTTGAAAATCAATACTCTGTACAAAGTATACAGACAAATGTTTTACAAGGAATGTATTATTATTATTATTGTTCCCTTGGGTTCCTAGTGGAATATATGGCTTCAACTGTGCGTCTCCACTTGCCACTTCTGTCTTCTGCTGCCGTACTTTTCACCTGCATCCATCCATGTTAGTCCATATTCTTCCAACTCCTCTTCACACAAGTATTCAATTCATCTACACTTTCTCCTGCATATTTGTTGGTTGACGATTGGTTCTTGTTTTGTTTGTTCCCAGCCATAGTTTCTTGTTGTTGGTGATTCTTTCCGGCCCGACCATCTGATTGATCTTCAGTATAGAACCAGCGAAGACAGTTGTTTGTTGATAAAAGTCTCCAACAGGCTGTTGGAAATATTCTTTGTGACCCGCCCGCCAAGTTTTTGCCTGATCCGTATAGAAGAACTGACTGACTTGACGTTGTTTGTATTGAAAATCTGACTGAATTTTGTTGTTCATTCTGAGTTGAGTGACGAAGATTTCCAGATTGGTTTCAGGTTGATGAGGGAATTTGTTTCTCGCCTGCCTTCCCGATTCTCGCTCGATTCGACATCCTCGTCCGTTCCGACTGCCTGTCGTTGAGACAATGCTCTCTAGATAAGTGAATGAAGTAGCCTCTTTCAAATCCCTCCCGTCGATGGTGATTGGCGCTGTATGTTTCTGCTGCTGCTGTTGTTAGTTGGTTATTTTCATAACCTCCGTCTTGTCTATGTTCACTTGGAGTCTTGTCTTTACCGGCTGCTTCTTCGACCAGTTTGTCGGTTTTCGCTTGTAAGTCTTCGATTTTGTGTGACATCAAGCATAAATCATCCACACGCAAAATTCAGGCCTTCTAAGTTCTTCACTTCGGTTCAGGATATCCCTGTCTTCTCGTTTCCCACTCACTGTCTGACGCATAATCCAGTCCAACACAATTAGGAATATCATTGGTGTACTATCCTTTTATTCCTATTCTTTCGTCTTCTTCCAACCTGTACACAATCGAATCACTCGCGCTTTCAAGTTGCCCTCCAATGGCTACCAGTTCCAATAAACAAACGTTCAATGTTCACGTTCATTTACACCACTCTTTAACATACCCTTGAAATTCGGTTTATGGGCCAAACCCGTTTACCATTCATCCACTGGAATGGAAATCTGCTGGCCGACTAGTGAATTTAAACTTTAGCTAATCTGCTCGTAAAGTGTAGCTCTCAAACTAATCGATGCTATTGGTGATTCAAATCCTATCGGATGGGTACCACCTATCGTGACTTCGCACCAGAAATGCAGTCACTTCATTCTGTAGTTTGTCACTAGTCAGTACTATTCAACTGATTTTTTCAGGACGTTGGTTTGTAAAGATAAGATTAATTTCAAGTTACATCATGAAGTAAGTTCATTTAGAAAACCTTGAAAACTAAAGGGAACTGAACAGTTGTTTATGTGTGTCAATAAATTGCACTGGTTACCGCACTAGTGAAGATATAATACTGTCAGAGAACCATTAGGAAAACCTACTAAGGAGTACTGGACAGCTAACTGTTTCGTCAGCCTAGTTTGGGACTCTTCATCAGTACGCACCCACCGGGGTTCGAACTTAGGATCTTCTGGGTGCAAGGCGAGCTCGTATACCATTAAACCACTGGGACCCGATCCAATGGCCCATGACTTCTAACTTCTGCCAATTCACGACATAGTGTGAGCTCGCCTTGTAACCAGTAGGTCCTGGGTTCGAACCCTGGCAGCGGGTGCGTACTAATGAAGACTTCCAAACTAGGCTGAGAAAGCAGCTGTCCAGTACTCCTAGGTTTTCCAATTGTTCTCTAACTAATGTCAGCTGATGACGAAATCCTGTAACCAAACAAATCCCAACAAACTAACACTTGAAAATAATACTGTGTCACTATGTATGCTTTGATCAAATCAATTAATTCTATAATGGAATTATTACGAAATCCAGAATAGTGATTCTATCAAACTCATGTGAACAAATTTTGCCCGGTTCCCAATTGTATCCTCTTCTCAAGAGTAATGTAAGTCAGAGTGTGTTGCTTCCATCATACAGCCTAGTACACTTTTTCACAGATCACTCGACTGACTTATACAGCTTCAACACTAAAATCCTTGCGCTTTTGGTAAAGAAATGTTTTACAAATCTAACAGACATTAGACAGTACAATTCCCTACAGAACGGATGTATACAACTTCATTTTTGACAGTTCCAGTCTTCAGCAGGCTTAGTCAGACAGAATAGATAATTATTCAGTTTTCCTATATTTTGAATGAATTCAACGATAGCACTTCGTAATAACAGAAATGGAGATCAATGTGAACAACGAAGTTATCGGCTTTCTGTCTGTCTGCCTATTTTCAGCATAGAACTTTGCACCGATATGCACCAGTTCAAGTCGCCACATTCCCTCCTTGTAGCACACAAATCAAGAGAAGAAAGTAGAAGAAAAGCATAAAATAGAGACAGTAGACAGCGATATGAGACAGAAGGAATAGTAATATCGAAGAACAATAAAGTTTCATTGGAAATAATAAGTCACAAGTAGTGGATGCATCTGCGCTAGCCACTGAGAACGATTTTGCACCATATCAACTATTGTCAACAGCCATTGGTGTTCACTGTCCCAAGGATCCTAACCAGCCAAGAAGTCTGAACCTTCTTACGTGGCCTAAACTAACTGTTGTAGATTTCATTGACTGGTGCCACCATGTTTTGGTTTGACCACCACTGGCTTACTCTTTTCCAACCTGATCTATCCTATTCCATTTAACATTGCCTATTGTCGTGGAAGGCGACGACTAGGCATATGTAACTCATGTCCTAACCATCTCAGTCGGTGTAGGTTCACAGCATGGTCCATTGATTTCCCCTCTTACCAAGCACTCGACCGATGCCTAACCTCAATATTGCTCACCCTATTATACCACCACATGATACGGGGGATAGAATGCAGTCAAGTCATTCACCATTGTCAGTCAGCAGACAAAGAAACAAGACGATACTTGCAATTGCAGAGGCTTTTGCAATTCGAATTTATAAACCAGCTCT